ATTAACAATAACTGATAGAGCTCGTGGTTTAGGCCTATCTGTCAATCAGATGCGCTCTCAGCCACTGATCTATGCTCGGGACGTTTTCTTTTAAAATGATCATTGGCTGATAGAAATGTTAAAAAAATATATAGTATTTTAGATGGTAATAAGATCAAGACCCTTGATCACGTCATGATCTATTCTGTCGTGCAGCGCTCAAAATTGTGGACAAGCCAGGTCCACCGTAAAATAACCTCTGAATAGTTTTTTCGAACTGGTTCTAATGACTTCTAATCACTTTTAGCAAGCACGAGGGAGGCGAATGGTAATAAAAATATAAAAATGAAAATAGAATACCCTTGATGGAATCGAATCGACTCTCGATTCCCAACGCCTCGGAATCTATTCTTTTTGGAATCGATTCCCAGCCCTAAGAAATCCTGCAGGCGCCCCTGACTCTCGTAATTATGGCTTTTAGCGAGCATGAGGGAGGTGAATGGTGCTTCTCAAACGGAAGGCTGCGTCCTAAAATCCAGATGATCTCAGTACCGATCGTTTTCTTTCAGTTTATTTTCGTGAATTTAAATGTGTGCAGCCTTCGTAGGATGCAGCCTTCCGTTTGAGAGGCACCCATAGATAAACTTTGTTGAACTGAAAAGGGCTCTAAATGAGGAGTCGATTCCCCTTGACGGAATCGAATCGACTCTCGATTCCCAACGCCTTGGAATCTATTCTTTTTGGAATCGATTCCCAGCCCTAGTTTGGATGATGTGTGTCTTCCGAACTCAGGTGCGCACCCGCGAACCGTACATATTAGGTGTGTTCGACTTAAAAGCAGTGCGGCTCAGACCGATCAGTGTTTGACATCAAAGTACCTCGAGAGGTACGAAAGCATAACCGTCTGTATGGTAATTTGATGTCATACACCGGTCGGTCTGCACACGCAAACAAAGCCAAAACCTAGATATTTTAGGCAATACAGAAATCCTGGCCAGGACGCGTCCTGGGAAAATGGCACATATGGTCACCCTAGTATATCTAATTTCTGTTTGCCTTCAGAGTCCTTTAGAGCATTTGCAGTAGGCTAACATTCGTAAGGCAGACGTAAGTGCCGTTATGTACTGAAGATTACTGAAGAAGTACTCCAAGATACTTATAGGAGGTCATATGTCACCCCTCTCCCCCGGGTCCTCACCGCCACACCTCGTTCTCGCTCCGAGTGGGTCTCGAACCCGGGTCTCCAGCATGGGAGGCGGAAGCACTAACAAGGAGGCTAAATGGCTGCAGCCACTAGCGTCAGTCGCCAGTGCGTCTCTTGATATCAGGGGAGTGAGGTTTTTACCTGCACAGCACCTACTCGCTGGCCTCCGTTACACGTGTATGTCCCAAAATTATCAATAACTCATTCGACAATTAAAAAATGCTCTTCTGAACCCTACGAGTGACGTCACGGACACTACGTCCATGTTTTTTTTACAGTCTATGGTTCGGACCCAAATAATATAATGTGAACACAGTCCAGCGGGGGCAGGGGGAGGGGGGAGCAATCGAACTCGGCTCGGACCAAGCAATCGAACCAAGTGTGAAAGCACCCTAAGAGTGTAGTGAAACCGACTTCTGTTATTTGTAGTTCTTCATGGAGAGGGTAGTGGGTCCATGGGTTATGTAGTTCCTCACTGGGAATAAGTTTTTTATAATGTTGAAATCACTGACTATTATCTACAGAAGCATATACCATCACTTAACGGTCTCATAGCTTGTGAAGAGTTAAGTTGATCTTGAAAGTTTTATTAAAGAATTTGGCCTTATCTCTTCTTTCAAAGACACATGCCATTTTCTTGCTCTGCCATTCCACATCGAGAGAGATCCCCTTGTTACATCAAGATCTCAAAACTAACTTACTGTAAAGACGAACAGTGACACCAACTGCTGCACGAGCAAATGCTGCACTTAAAAGAGGATCCAACTCATACATATACAGGTGCATCTCAATAAATTAGAATGTCGTGGAAAAGTTCATTTATTTCAGTAATTCCACTCAAATTGTGAAACTCGTGTATTAAATAAATTCAATGCACACAGACTGAAGTAGTTTAAGTCTTTGGTTCTTTTAATTGTGATGATTTTGGCTCACATTTAACAAAAACCCACCAATTTGCCATACCTTTTACGCATTGAATTTTCATTGATTTTTCCAGTTGTTTTGTGATTACCGGATAAGTATTTTTAATAAAAAGTTTATAATGACTATAAAAATAGAAATATTTTATAGTGGATCATAACTAGAAAAACAGATTTTGCAGGACTGGAACTTACTTGGGAAAAAACATTGCTGTGTGACAAAAATGGTTGGTCTAGCTTTATATTATTTAATAAAAAAAAATAAAAAAAGAATATAAATATAATATATAATATATAGACACACACAGAATTACATATATACATATCATTTTGTCACTTTATTTTAAGGACCAATTCTCACTATTAACTATTAATTATGACTTTTGCCTCATTAAATTTCAAATTTGCTGCTTATAAACAGTTAGCAAGGTAGTTCAATTTAGGTATGGGGTGGGATTTAAGGGTCTAAATTATGGTCATGCAGAATAAGGCATTAATGTGTGCTTTATATGTAATAAACCGCCCGCGTGCTAGTAATTTGCATGCTAATAAGCAACTACTTAATAGTGAGAAATGGTCCTTAAAATAAAGTGTTACTACACTTTTTTGTAAATTTCTTTTTATTATTATTATTTTATTAATTTTTTTTTTACACATTTGTGTAAATAAATTAAAGAGTCATTTGTGTATGTGTTTCTCTGCTTACCTCTCCTATCTGTATGTGCGTCTCTTCAACAGACTGACAGTATGAATGGATAATCTCCTGTATACGCAGAACATGTTCCTCTTCAATGCCCTGGAATTTCTGTAGACACAAACACACAACCTTTAAATAATTTATCTTTCTAAAATGGTGCAAAAGCAGTTTAAAAATGGATAATACTTGTTTTAGACAGTGTTGAAAAGTGAAGCTAAAAACAGATGTTAGAAATGATACTTAATCAGACCAGAATCTTTTTCCACAAAAGTCTTGTGTGTGTGTCTGTACATAAGACCCCTTCTTATGTTGTTGGCACAACACTATGAATAGCCTATTTGGGTGGTCTGGGTAAAAAGCATGTAACACGCACAGACAGTGAAAATAAATATGCATGAGTGTATGCGGGATATGTGTGTGTGTCAAGGATGGCTGCATGCCTGATTTGCTGTTTATGCTTCTCTCAGACTGACAGTAGGGTTTTAGAAGATTTAAGAGGAAGAGGAGAAAAAGATGAGGAAATGAGCAGAAACAAGATAATGACAGCATAAGCCAGAGCATGTGTGACCACAGGGAAAAAACGTGTTTGTGCATGTGTGTGGATCATTTAAAAAAAACATCAATAAGAAGCTTAAGCTTCGAATGTTTGAGGCCTCTTTGGCTCTGATTTGGGACTGAAAAATAAGTGTGCGGGATTGGTAAGGGACTGCTAATGTTTCCTGCATGGCGCTACTGAATTTAAAACACCAAGGCAAAAAACATGACATTCAGACATTATATTACTATTTATATTAAAGGGGTCATATGATGCGATTTCAATTTTTCCTTTCTCTTTGGAGTGTTACAACAGTTCTTTCTGGTCCTCGAATCTGACTGAGTTGGAGGTCTTTCCACTCATTAAATATTTAATCAATATCGCTACGTTTTACTGTTTGTATCACTCCGCTTGCAGCATTTCTCACAGCGAGTGTCATGGTGGATGCCCAAATCCACTATAAATTTAGAAATAATACTGTTTTTGTGTCACCAAATGTAGTTGTTTAGACTTCAAATATGTGGTTTGTAAATAAAGATAATGTCTATTTGAAAACGTTTTCGGAGACGTGAGCTCCAGGGCTTCAGCGGCCTCACCTCGGCCAATTCTTCGGGAATTTGTCACTGGTTCTGATGTCTCTATAGTGGTTAAACATGAGCTATAATTCGTTTTGGGGAAATCTAACAGGCAATCTTTGGTCTCTTTAATCTATTATTTGTTCCAGAGCAAATAGTTTTGGCTGAGGGCAGAATCTCATCACGTTATATTTTATGTAACTCCAGCCCCTGCCCCTTTAATCGATTCTAAAATGCCCGTTT